GGGGTTCCGCTATGGGGGGTTAAGCGGTCCGCATGGGAGCCTTCTCGAATTTGGGTTGGGTTATCCGGAACCGGAAAGCCCCCCCCCCCTTGGGGGGTTCTCGTGCCTGCGTGTAGAGGACGCGCAGCGAGTTCTGGTGGTCGGCCGGCGCGGCGGGCGCCTTGTGCTTGAATGCGAGCACCTGCAGGCGGACAGGGATGTGTGGGGTGGGTACGGGGTGGGGTGGGGTGGGGGTGGGGAGGGCGGCGAGAGTGGGCGCCTTGTTGGTCGCACCGCCCGCAAAGAGGTTGGCAGCGAGCGCCTTCTTGTACTCCTCCTGAAGGGGGGGTAGGGGGTGAGGAGGGGCGAGGGAGAGGGAAGGGCGTGGATGTGCGTTTGAATGTAGGGAGCGGCGCAAGCGGCCGCGCCTTTGCAGGCGACGCGTTTACGGTGGCATTCTCCTCTTCGCGCGCGCGCGTGAGCTCAAAGTGGGAGACGTCCATGTCCATGGCTGAGCGCTGAGGAATGAAGCGGTCGCCGTGCGGCCGCGACACGGGCGTGCGGCCGCGCCTCGTCGCCTCCTCGCCTGGTGCGCTCGACGGCAGCCGAGCTGCCGCGCTGCGCTTTTGCGGGGTGCCCTGCATCGCGTTCATGCACTCTTCGAACTGCGTGGCGTTCATGTTTGTTTCGTGTAGTAATCCTGCGGCGGAGCAGCGGTGGCGAGGTGGCGTCGAGCGCGGGCGCCGGAGCGCGTTAGGGGTGCGTTGCGTTGGCGCGTGCGAGGGGCGCGCGGGCCGGCAATGGCGTGCGAAGCGCTTTGGGCAGGCTGTCCAGCGCTGCTTTTGTTTCTTTTTCAGTGGAAGTTGTTTGTTGTGCTCTTGTTTGTTTCTCTTGGCACCTTGGAGTGCTGGGGGGGGCGACAGGGAGGATATGGCCTTGAGTTATGTGTACGCCAACTCAGGGTGTGTGGCAGCCAGCTGGCTGTGTGTCTTGTGAGCCTTTTGTGTCTGTGTGTCGCTCGTGCGTGTCGTCATCATCTGTCCAGCGTCCACCCATACCGCGTTGGTGTCCAGTCCGAGCCTGGCTGTTCTTCACCTTTCTACCTACCTACCTTGCTGTGAGCTTGTTTGTGTCTGTGTGTCGCTCTTGCGTGCCGTCATCATCTGTCCAGCGTCCACCCATACCGCGTTGGTGTCCAGTCCGAGCCTGGCTGTTCTTCACCTTTCTACCTATGTATGTTGGTAGTGGTGCGATTGTGCGTCAGGCGAAAGGCGAGCGCCGGCGGAAGGTGGCACGCCGAGCGTGTCAGCTAAGGGAGGCGATTGCGCGTCAGGCAAAAGTTGTTGATGGCCGACGACGTCGCCTTCGCTTCGGCTTGCGATGCCGAATCCGCTCCTGTTCGTCGGCAAGGGCGCGGCGCTGACGGCGGCGGCCCGAGCGGCTGACAAGGCGAACGAAGGCGGCGGAGCATTCCAGCGGCTGGGCGAGGGCCGCGGCGCGGCAATCCGGCTCGCGTGGCCGGCGGAGGCGCTGCACACCGTGCCGCACGAGAGGCGGGCGGCGGCGGGCGACGCGGACGACCCGTTCGCGCACGGCCGTCCGATCACCAAGAGGGCGAGGCGCGCGGCGGGCGAGCTGCGCGCCGTGCAGCACCAGGAACGTGCGGAGGCGCCCAGAGAGGCGGAGCTGGCGGCGGCAGAGGAGCGGACGGCGGAGCAGGCGGCGCTGCTGGCGCCGCTCGCGGCGACGGACACCACGGCGCGCCTGGCGAAGCGGAGGCGGAGCGCCCTCGTGGCGGCGGTGCTGCATCAACCCATTGCGGAGCCGGCGGGCCGGGCGGCTCAGATGCTCGCGCCGCTCGGCGAGCACTTGAAGAGGCAGTGCGACGAGGTGGCGAAGCGGTGGGACGACTTCCAGACGGAGATGGAGCGGCTTGACGAAGACGGCGGCGATGCGGACATGCGCTCCAACTTTGCGAACGGGATGCGGGACGGGTATCCGTGCCAGCAGCTCACCCTCGTGTTTCTGCAGTATCTGCTGACGAGCCGCATCCGACAGTCGCACGCGTCGCGGCGGCAGGGGTGTGAGCTCGTCGGGCGGGGGGCGAAGACGGTGGGAGTGCAGTTCAACATCATGCGGAGCCACGTGTGGCCGATCCTCTTCGGCGAAAAGGGCTTCCCGGCGGGACAGGAGGCGATGGCGTACTGGCGACCCATCCGCGACCATTTCTCGAGCCTCGTGGGAGGAGGGAGAGGGAGCGGCGGGGTCGAGCAGCTCGCCGTCGTCGCGCAGGCGGCGGCCAGCGTGTTGCAGGTGGCGGTGGGCGCGAACGCGACCACCGCGGCGGCGGCTGGCGACGCGGCGAGCCAGGCCGTGCAGCTGGCCATGAGGGCGGCGACTGCGCCGAGCTTGACGCGACAGCACTTGGGCCAGACCGGCCAGTACATCTTGCAGGACGCCCTGCTCAGCGAGTGGGTCGAGGTGAACGAGGCGTTCGTGCTCAACGCGTACGTCACCCTGGCGCGGCAGACCGGGTGTCGGCCCGGGATGGTGGTCAACGTGGGCCACGACTCGGTCGATCAGAACGGCGCGTGGGCCCACTGCGCGCCGCTCGTCTGGCAGGACCTGCTGGTCGGCAAGCTCGAGGAAGGGTTGGAGCTGCCGCACGGCGGCGGCCTCGCGTGGTTCTACTTCGAGCTCATCTATCAGCGGGCGAAGGGGCAGTATTTCTCGAACGTGCAGTATGGAACGTGTGTCACGCCCGACTCGGATGAGATGATACGCCTTGGGACGGTGACGCTGCAGCGCCTGATGGTGCGGACGGCGGCGGCCAAGGCCGTGTACGCGAACCTGACTCACGCGGAGGTGGTGGCGCTGCGGCAAAAGGTGGATCACCCGGGTGGGTTCGCGGGGCTGGACCTTGCGGACACGAGGTACGGGTCGTGGGCCGACCTGGTGGCGGCGTGCCGCGAGTCGCACTGGGTGCTGGATGAGGCGGCCGTGGGCCGCGCGGTGTTCCCGATGATCGACAAGGCGACGGGCAACTTCCTGCTCGGGTCGCGAGACACGTACCTCGGGGAGGAGCTGTGCAAGCGGCTCAATGAGATCGGCGTCAGCCTGGGCTACGCGCGGAACGTGTACGGCGCGTGGTGCTTGCGCAAAGATGCGTGCGAGATGCAGGCGACGGGCAGCAACGCCGACGCCATCAACCTTGCGGCTCGCGTGCTCGCGCACAGGCGGGTGAACGGCCGAACCATGGATCGGTGCTACCGATCAGACCTGCGGCTGCGCGACCTGGGGCGGCGGTGGCGCGGCTCGGACTCGTCGATGCCGCTGCACGACGCGCTCTCGTCGCCGAGCGCGCAGCGAGTGCCGGCGGCGGGCGCGGCGGCGGCGCTCACCTTCTCCGAGCTGCCGGCGGACGCGCCGGAGCGCGACGAGGTGGAGAAGCGCGACGAGGTGGTCAGGGCGCGGCGCGAGGAGGCTGCTGCGGCGCAGAAGGCGCTGGAGGCGGTGCGCGCGACGGCGCCTCCGCTGGAGGCGGAGGCGGACGGGGCGGACGGGGATCACGAGGAGGGCGACTCCGCGGAGCGAGCGGAGAGGGCGGTGAGGGCGGCCAACGAGCGGCTGAAGAACGCGAGGGTTAAGGCCGCACGGGCGGCGGGGCGTGTGCCCCGGGGGGGGAAGGGTCGACCGCAGCTGTCCGAGGCCGTGCTCACGTTGGTGGCTGACGATCCAGACGTGGTCAGGGAGAAGGCGGCGGTGCAGGAGGCGAAGCGCTGGCGCGAGCGGGTGAAGGCGCAGAAGGCGACGTCGCTCGGCATCGGGCGGTCGACGGTGCGGCAGGCAGCTCGCGCTGTAGAGGGCGGCGAGGAGGCGTTGCGGGCGCACGCGGCTGCGGTGGCCAAACGGTCGAGCGTGCTGTGGCACGCGAAGGTGATCGCGGTGGGCGACTACTCGTCGCGACTGTGGCACGAGGGGCAGGAGGAGCTGCGGACGGATCCGCGGCTGCGGTTGGAGCGATGCGCCACGCACAGCTGGCCAGCGATGACCGAGCAGCAGGCGGTCGTCTTCGGCCTCGAGCGGCGGGATCGAACTAGCGAGTGGCGCGTGCTGCGGCTTCTGCCGCGCCAGCTGCAGTGGGCGGTGGCGGAGGCGGATTTGCTGGGCGCTGCGCGATGCAACTTGGGCGGCAAGGGCGAGAGGGAGCGCGCGTACGACGCGGTGATGCGTGCGACACAGGGCGCGTTGGGCATGGCATGCGTCAGCTGCGGAAGGGCGGGTGACGAGTTGCCTGCGACGTGCAAAGAGCTGGCGTCTGCGCGCTGTGTTAGCTGCGGCGAGCAGCAGGTGTGCCGCCCGTGCGTCAGCGACGTGGAGCCGTGCGAGGCGCACGCGGTGTGGCTGCGGCTGTGTGCTGCGGGTCGCCTGGGCCCGAGGCCGGAGGCCGCCATGTTGGCGGAGCACGCCGCGACGGAGCTGGCGTTGCAGGAGGAGGGGCTGGACGTGCTGGACGATGAGGCGATATTGGAGGTCCTCGAGCCCGAGGATTCCGCGCTGGAGGGGGTGGCGGAGGAGGGGGTGGCGGAGGAGGGCTTGGGGGAGGAGCCTGCATCGCGAAGGATGCGTGTGGAGGAGCTGTTCGAGCTCTCCGCATTTGGCGAGGAGCCACCCAGCAGCCAGGCGAGTGCAGAGGGATGCTGCTAAGGGATGTGGATCTGTGGGGTGCGAGCGAGTCAGACAGTGCGGGCGAGTGATGTGTTTAGTATGTTCTAGTGTGCGGGTTGCTGTTCGAGACGGAGTCGAGAGGACGCGCGGCTGTATGGTGTAGAGTAGGTGCTTGTTGATTGTTGTTAGAGCGCGGCGCTTGTGAGTGAGAGTGTGGGCGACCGATTGGCTCGGAGGACTGCGCAGGGCGTCACCCAAGTAGAAGTCTCGCCCCCTCGGTACTCTCTGAATTTTCACGCGCGGGTGGTGGCTGGGCCGGCAGGTGGCGGCGGTGGCTGAGTGCCGACGGGCGGGGCTGCGAGGCGAGGCATGTGCGGGTGGTGTGAGGGCTCGGTCACGATGGCGACGGCGCCGTTGCAGCGTGGGGAGACGGGGGCGGCGGGGAGCCTAGAGGGAGACGTGGCGACGAGGGCGGAGGAGGCGGACGCGCGGGTGATGGCTGGGCCGACAGGGATGGCGGCGGTGGCCGAGTGCCGACGGGCGGGGCTGCGAGGCATGTGCGGGTGGTGTGCGGCCTCGGTCACGATGGCGACGGCGCCGTTGCAGCGTGGTGAGGCCGGGGGCGGCGGGGAGCCTAGAGGGAGAGGTGGCGACGAGGGCGGAGGAGGCGGACGCGCGGGTGGTGGCTGGTCCGGTAGGGATGGTGGCGGTGGCCGAGTGCCGACGGGCGGGGCTGCGAGGCATGTGCGGGTGGTGTGATGGCTCGGTCACGATGGCGATGGCGCTGTTGCAGCGTGGGGAGGCGGGGGCGGCGGGGAGGCTAGAGGGAGAGGTGGCGACGAGGGCTGAGGAGGCGGACGCGCGGGTGGTGGCTGGTCCGGTAGGGATGGTGGCGGTGGCCGAGTGCCGACGGGCGGGGCTGCGAGGCACGCGCGGGTGGTGTGCCGCCTCGGTCACGATGGCGAAGGCGCCATGCAACAAAAGAGGTTCATCGAAGGGGTACCTCGCAACTTTCACGGGGGGTACCTAGCAACATTCACGGGGAGACGCCCGGAGGCCATAGCCGGAGAGCCTCGCCGCGGCGTCGGAGGACGCCGCCGTCGCCTAGACTCCCCTAGGTAGGTAGGTAGTAAGGTCCTACCTACCTGCTGTCACTTGTAGTGAGCGTCGGGCTGGTGGTTCGACACCGAGTTTGAAAGATCTGTTTCTCTACGTCTCTCTTCACAGGAAAATCCTGTGAAGAAAAGCGGAGAAAAAACAGAAACCTTTTCTGCCTCGGCCTTAGCCGTCGGTACTCTGATATCCGAGCTCCTACCTACCTTGCTGATACCGCGTAGGTGTCCAGTCCGAGCCTGGCTGTTCTTCACCTTCCTACCTAACCTAACCTAACCGAGACATTTGAGATTTTTAGAAGCCAACAAGAAATCTGGCACCAACAGTGATTTGGGCTCGGCAGCTTGTCGACTACCACTCTACCAGCCGAAGCCGGAGTCGGAACCGTGGCCGAGATGGTCGTCGTACGCGGCGCGCGTCTCGCTCTCCATCTAAAAGGAACTCGGGGGCGTCGTCTGCCGCTTGTGTCCCTCCCCCCCGCCCCCATCTATTGGGAAGGCCTCTGCGCTCTGGTATGTCCTGGGTCTCTTTCGAGGGTCTCTTGTAGTGGGTGCATTGGGTTGGGGTAGGCCCCTCTCTGCACCACGAGACAGTGGTGGACGGGAGGCGCGAACAGCGCCATCTTGGGTCTTCACGCCGACCAGTGCTCCCGTCAGTGACAAGGAAGAGGGGCTGAGTGGCCTTCTCAGCCGCCGGCCGCGCGTGCGTGACTCCGTCTACTGTTAACGTATAACGAGCCCTGGTTGCGCGTCGGCAGCAGAGAGTATTCCACCGCCATACCGTTTTTATCAGAACTAAGAAGCACGTCATGAAAAAGAAATTTGCGTACGTAAAAAAAGAAATGCGTGCCTAGCCCCCCTTGCGCCTTGGTTGTGAGAGAGAGATTTTTAGCAATACCAAACAACTCTAACACTCACACGTCATTTGGGGCCTGGAGCCCTGTTCACGCGCGCGCGAGACGTGCAGGACAGGGTTGCCAGGTGAGAGCGAATGGCGCGGTTCGCACGCCTGTCCGGAGTGCCAGAGTTCCGGCCCTCACTACTCGCTCTCCGACCCTCGACGGTTACCACCGGCTGCTCCCGCTGCCTTCCGTCTTGGGCTGGCCCACGCGGCTTTGGGCTCGCCGACTCAGCTCTCTCGTTCGCTGCACTGGCGCGGCACACCTCAACAAGGAGGAGGGCTCGCACGTGCTGGGCGAGGACTGCTACGACATGGGCGTGTATCGGTGCCCTGTTCCTAACTGCGGCAAGTGGTACGCGACCGTGGGGAGCAAGTGCGGGCTCTACCAGCACCTCGTCAAGTGCGACCCAAAGTACCGCGGCGAGACAGGCGACCAGCGGTGGCAGGGCGGGAGGGAGGGGCTCATGCGGCATCTTCAGCAGCAGGCTGAGGTCGGCTCCCCCGCCCACTACTTCCGCACTGTCTGCTATGGCGCGCGCAAGGAACGAACGCCGGATCGCCTGCGGGGCAGGCACACGGATTGGCTGGCCGCGGTCGCAAAGGCGAGGGCCAAGAGGGCAGCGGATGACGGCGGGAGCTCCGCCGCCACCAGCGCCGAAGCACGCCGACGCGCCAAGGCCTCGTCGGACGCAGCGCGCAAGGCGGCGTTCCACGCCCGCGGCTCGCAGTACTTCATCTCGAGCCCCGGCGTCAGATACTCCTACGAGTGGCTCCGCCCCTGGGCCAACAACCCACGCCTTCTCGCGCAGCTGGACACCGTCCGTCGCCGCCGCCCACCCAAGAGAGCGCGTCGGGAGTACTACGGCATGCTCTACCACGGCGCCACGCTCCTGCGCGATCACATCAACACCCCGGACGCGGGGCTCTACGTCGCCTTCCAGATCCTATCCAAGATGGTGACCATCAACCATCTCCGCGAGGGCGGCAAGGAGCGGACCAAGTCGGAGATGCTAGGGCGCGTCCGGATGGTTATGACAGGCGGCCTGGAGCAGCTCGTCGCCGAGATGATGCGAGAGGCTTCCGACGCCGCCGCTGCCAAGCGGGAGAGGGAGGCGGCGGCGCGCGCCTCCGAGCTCGAGCGCCAGGGCGGCAGCGGGGCGGCTGCGGCCGCTGCGGCCGCCATGAGGCGGGGAGCGCACGCTCCGCCCGGGGGGGGAGGGGAGGAGGCGGAGGCGGAGGCGGGCGAGGAAGAGGGAGAGGGGGCGAGCGAGCCGAGCCGCGACGAGCGTCTCCTCGCCACCGTCCTCGGCCTCGCCGGAGCAGGCTACCTCTCCAAGGCCTGCGCCCGCTTCTCGACCAACCCCGTCGCCGAGACGGGCGTTTACGACGACACGCAGCCCGGCGGCGGCCTGACACAAGCTCCCCTACTCTGATCGCGCTCGCCCCGTATCCGTGCCCCACAAACAGCTCGTAGCCTTCTTTCTGCCAGTTTATGTGTCTCTGGGGCGCCCCCTCTGGGAACAACGTCTCATTCGCCCCGAGGCTCCCCTCCTGTCGCTCCCTCTCCTGTCTCTCCATCATCTTTCTCACCGCGTCCTTCGTGATCTTATTTTGCTCGGGTATCTCCTCCTCCCATGTCGCGTTCGTCTCGAGGCCCGGGGTCCCCTCTAGCTTTATCACTCGATTGTCCCCTTCCTCTCTCGACCCCAGGTGCGTGCCGCTGTCTTGCGCCGGTTTCTTCCCTCCGAGGTAGAGCGTCCTGGCCTTCCCCTCCACTCGGATGTCCGTCCTGGTTCGCCCTTCTTCGAACGTGTGTTCTGTCATGTTGGGTCCGCTCGTGCACACCCCGTTTGCCTCCCTGCTGTATGTTCTTCTTCTAGTCTGTGCGAGAGATGTTTGTTGAATTCTTCTGGTGCACTTGGAGCACTTGGAGTGCGGTCATTAACCTCACGCCCAGGACCAGGGAGCTGAGAAGCGCACCCAGTTGGCCGGACGCTAAAAAAGAAAGAAAGAAAACAGACAACCCAAGGGAGGGATGGGAGCGCTCTCCATCGGGTTCCGCGGGTAAATTCTTCTCGTCGCAACATCTTTCGGGAGCCAGGCTGTCTCCAGTTGCAGCGGGAAGAGCAGACCGTCGCTGATGTGATGAGGATCGCGCTGACCGCTTTGCTGTCGCCACTCGTCGCCGCTGCTGCGGTCGTCACCAGTCCGGTTGGCGCCCGTGCGCTCGGCAGCCTGACCATCAGCGAGGCGGGGCTCGGCACACTGAATCTAGCGCTGGACAAGAAAGAGAATGACGAGGCTGCTGCCGGCGCGCTGCAGGCGTCCGTCGCCGCCGGGTGCAACTTTGTTGATACCGCGGAGGCGTACGGGTTTGGCAACAGCGAGCGGCTGACGGCTTGGGCCGCGGCTCGCGCCGGCATCAAGATTGGCTGCGGGCCCGGCGAACTGCACGTGGCTACCAAGTTTGCGCCTGTTCCATGGCGTCCCAACGCCGAGAGTGTGGTGGAGGCGTGCCGAGCCAGCGCTGAGCGGTTGGGTGTCGAGCAGATCCCTCTCTACCAGATCCATTTCCCCGACCTCATCCAGCCGCTCAAAGCGTTTGGTCTGGAGCGGCGCAAGGACGAGGAGTACTGGGAGGGGTTGGCGAGGTGCTACGAGATGGGTCTCGCTGCCAATGTGGTGCACAAGCCACCTCTCACACTCGTAGCAAGCCACACACACACACTCACACACACACACACACACACACACACACACACACACACACACACACACACACACACACACACACACACACACACACACACACACAGGCACGCACACACACACACAGGCACGCACAGGCACGCACAGACAGGCACATACGCACAGGTACACCCACGCACGCTGCCAGCTCGGCCATAGGGTGTCTGCAACTATGGGCCAACCTACGTCGCTCGCGTCCACGCCTTCCTCGCAGCGCGTGGGATCCCGCTCGCGTCCAACCAGATCAACTACAGCCTGATGTACCGCAAGTCGGTCGAGGCGACGCTGGCCAAGTGCGCCGAGCTCTCCGTGCCCGTGATCTCCTACTTTCCGCTAGCGAACGGGCTGCTGAGCGGCCGGTACGACGCCGACAACCTGCCCAAGTTTCCAAAGTCGCTCACGATGAAGAAGTACGTCGTCGGCGGGGCCGACGGCTTCCCCGATGGAGGCTACACGCCGCTGCTCCGCGAGCTGCAGCGCATCGCGGCGGCGCGCGGAAAGTCGGTGCCTCAGGTGTCCATCAACTACGTGGTCTCGAAGGGAGCAATCCCGATCCCGGGCGCGAGGAACGCGGAGATGGCGGCGGCAAACATGGGCGCGATGGGATGGCGACTAAGCGAGGCGGAGGTGGGCGCGCTGGAGGCGGCAGCGGATGCGATCGGGTTCGAGTTCTCCTCGGGCGGCTTCAGGCTGGAATGAGTTGAATTTGATAGGACGGTTGTCCGAACTAAGAAGGGCGAAGGGGAGAAAATCTCTCTCCGAAGGGGCTGTGGGCCCGAGAGCGATATGCCATGTCTGGCCTTGCTTTGTTTCCTAACATCGAAGGCTAGCTCAAAAGAAATTTGAAAGGCTTGAGCCTCGTTTATAAAACCGGCGCGCCACGACGCGACCGAGGGTATCAGAGGACGCGAAGCCGATGCGCGTGCTACGAGGTGCACTCTTGCGCGCCGTATCTAGCAATGTCGTCGCCGTTCGTGCTCTCGCCTGCAAAGGCAGCGCCGTCCGTGCTCTCTCTGGCAAAGGCAGCGCCGCGTGGAACGAGGAGTGGAGGCGGCTCGGCCTCGGCGCAGTGCAGGAAGCGTCGGCACCTGCTCTCAATCGGCTCATGTTTGTCCAGACCGGCTTCGGCTGTGACCAGCACGGCGATCGCAAGGGCGCAGGCGCGACCTCTGCAGCAGTGCGGGCGTGCCGCAACGCGATAGAGTTCAACTCGATCCCGGGTATGGTCGATCACGTCCCGGGAGGGCGCAAAAACATGCTGATTCACGTCAAGCTGGGGATCCCGGAGGGCTATTCGGTTGACCACGACGAGATACGAGCAACTTTCCCGTATGGCAGACTGCTGCCCGTGGAAGTGATCCACGGTGGTCTTACCTACGGTTGCGGCAGGTCGCGACGCACCCTCGTCAGGCCTAAACCGCGTCCATCTCAGGTTGTGCTCGTGCCTCGTAGGGTTGTCACCGAGTTGGGAGACGAAGACGACACGGCAATCGTTGTCGTGGCCGCCGTGTCGATCGGTGCGCGCGCTCGCTAGCCAACGGACACTTCACACAGGTGCGCGCGCGCCTCACCTCTCTCTGCGCGTCAGGTTACAACGACCCGAACGATGCGTCCGAGGGCCACAAAACATACGATACAAGGGACGGTCATTAGGGACTTTGTCGGTCTGAGACACTGTAGAGTAAGGGCCTCGGTCTGCACACGGACGCACGGGGGCTGTCCTGCGGCTCCCCTCCGTCCACCATGCTCTTGAGAGCATCTTGTTTTCTTTTTTCGCACGACACTGGGCACGGGACTCGAGAGTGAGTGAGTGAGTATTCTTGATATATACGAAACCACGGACGACACACACCACCTCACCAGTCGACCTCGCATCGGTTGCCTCCATGAACGGCGGAGCTATTCTCGCGTCCACACCACACCTGGCTCCAACATGGACACGCCCATAGCTGGGGACACTACTAGGTCACGCATGGCATCAGCAGCTGAGCCCTGGTGTCGAGGTGTCGAGGCCCGGTGGCGAGGGTGTCGAGCTGCTGTCGAGGGGTAGAGGTGTCGAGGCCTGTCGAGGCCTGTCGAGGCCTGTCGAGGCCTGTCGAGGCCTGTCGAGGCTTGTCGAGGCTGGTACCACGCTTGCCAGTGTTGAGGGGTGTCGAGGTGTGTCGAGCGAGTGGTGTCGAGGTGTGTCGAGGGGGTGGGTGTATCAACAAAACTTGGGCAGCAGTTGCAAAGCTGTTTCATCCCTTAGTTGCAGCCTCTCAGTTGCACCCTGTTGATGTAGCACAACCTGAGCACAACCAGTATACTCTCTGTGGACATTTGAGGACATCAAGTGCCGGGAGTCATTGCCACTGTGCACAAAGGTGCTGTGCAGGCGCAGCACCACAGCAGCGTCGCCGCTGCAGCGTCGTCGCCCCTGCAGCGCCACCGGCGCACAAAGCGCAACTGACCACAGCGCTCCTTAGCTTTCACAAGGCTGGTGCCATGAGTCAGTGGACATTGCCACTGCACAAGGTGCTGTCCAGCAGCTAAGGGCTACAGTACCCCATCGCAGCAGCGTCGCCGCCGCTGCAGCGTCGCCGTTGCAGCGTCGCCAGTGCACAAAGCGCAATGGACCACAGGTCTGCACTCATGGCACAAGCTCACTGGCGTGAGGATTCATTGCCACTGTACAAGGATCAAGGTGCTGTGCAGCACCTGAGGGCTGCCTGAGTACTGCCATGTTTGCTACATCAACAGGGGTGCAACTGAGCCGCAACTTGACCTAGAACTTTTGAGAGGCTGCAACTCAGGGATGAAAGTACTGCCAGCCAAGTTTGATTGCTGCTGCAACCCTGATTTCTAACTCTGTGACTCCAAATGGGTCTACGTCTCTGCTGTGTTAGGATCATCAGAGGTGTCGAGGTGGTGTCGAGCGGTGTCGAGCGGTGTCGAGCGGTGTCGAGCGGTGTCGAGCGGTGTCGAGGTGTCGAGTTTGGCACCTTGACACCAGCGAGCGTGGTACCAGCCTAGATGGTGTCGAGGGGTGTCGAGGGGTGTCGAGGGGTGTGTCGAGTTGGTCGAGTTGGCATGGGGTGTCGAGGTGTCGAGTTGGTGTCGAGGTTTGGTGTCGAGGTGTCGAGGCCAGGGCTCAGATCAGAAGTTTTATCTCTGGGCCCCGAAAGGCATCAAACAACTAACAAAATCTCTCAAAGGCATCTCTAGCAGCGTCGTTACGCATGCGCCCTCCCCTCCTGGGCGCAAGCGCCTCACGTCTCGACAGAGCACAAGCCCTTGGCGTGCGACGAGACGAGCTTTTCGACACACACACGCCTAAGGGAATCCAGCCGGGCTTAAAATTCATTTTTCGCACAAGCATCTGGAGGTGTCTTCAACGGCCATCGCAGAGCAGATTGTGAATGAGCTTGCCTGCGGCGAGGGCGGTCGAGTGCACGGACGAAGTGCCTCGCCGTCCTCGCGGGAGTCGCTTAGGCGGCTCCCGTGGTGTACCTGTGTTAGTGCCAGTGCGCGCCAGTAAAGAAAGAAAGAAAACAGACCACGCAAGGGAGGGATGGGAGGACGGCACGCCGCCACTGCGCTGATTTCTTTCCCGTGCCCAGTGTTACGCGGCCTTAGTTTTTTTCTTTCTGTTTTTTCGCGCATCCGCTGACTTTCACATGGCGACCATCCGCTGACTTTCAGGCATGGGGTACGAGAGCCTCAGCATCGGCATCAATGATGCCGTCGCCGCCTCATTCGCAGTACTCAGCGTTGCAGTGTTTATATGTCTTCCCATAGCTGCGTGGGGATGGCTCGTCTACCCGCTCTGGCGGAGCGGCGGCTTACACGGCTGGATCACGCGCGGCGGCGGCGGGCGGATGCACAGCACGGAGACGGGCGCTCGGCGCACCCCGCGGCCCGCCCTCGTTACCTTTCGTGACATTCACTACTCCGTAAAGCTGTCCGGCCGGGGCCGGCCGGAGTTGCACATACTGAAGGGCGTGAGTGGTGTCCTGCTGCCGGGGACGTTGACTGCTATTATGGGCCCTAGTGGCTGCGGCAAGTCCACCCTCCTCGACATCCTCGCCGACACCAAGCGAGTTGGCGTCGTCGAGGGGGATGTACGACTGAACGGCGAGGCGCGCGGCACGGACTTTCGGTCGACGTGCGCGTACGTGATGCAGGAGGACTGCTGCCACTCGACGCTCACCGTACACGAGACGCTCTGGTTCGTGTGCGCCCTGAGGCTCGGGCCCGACGTCGGGCGCCAGGAGCGACACACACTGCTCACCCACGGATCGGATCTCTTGCACTTGATGCCGGGGCCTCCTTTCCCTGGACGTGGGGTCGCACCTTACCTTAGGAGCGGCTCGAGCTCATCACCCGGACGATGGTCGACCTCGACCTCGCGCACGTGGCAGACACGCGCATCGGCGACGACGTGTCGGGCGGCCTGTCTGGCGGCCAGCGCCGCCGCGTCACTATCGCGATCGAGATCCTCTCCGGGCCTGCCCTGGTGCTGCTCGACGAGCCGACCTCCGGACTGGACGCGTACGGAGCGCAGCAGGCGGTGGCCACACCGCCTGCGGTGGCCACACGCACACAAGACCCACGACGTCTCTCCCCCGCTGCGTCTCCCCCGCCTCCTCAATGCCGTGGGCTCAATGCCGTGGGTCTGCTTCCCAACCTCTGGAAGAGGTTCAGCGGGCGGAGTGGACCACACGACACGCGGGGGAGAGGTTTTGCCCCTTTGCATGTTAGGTGGTCGCGGCGCTACGCCGCTTCGCGGACCGCGGCCGCACCCTCGCCTGTACCATCCACCAGCCGCGCGCCGAGACCTTCGCGCTCTTCCACCAGCTGCTCCTGATCAAGGCGGGCGAAACCATGTATTGCGGGCCGGTGGCGCAGGCGCATATGGACCCGCGAGATATAGACCCGAGATATAGGCCCGAGACATACAACCGAGTACAACCGAGACGTGATCACACAAGGGGGCCAACCTCTTGGCCTAGGTGCCCGACTTTCTTCGCGGCTGCGGCGTGGCGTGCCCGCCGTCGGTCAACCTCGCCGATGTGGTGGTCGACCTCACGCACACCAAGGAGGCGGACGCCGACGCCGACGGCGCCGAGCAGAGTGTCGACCTCGTAGCCCGCTTCGCCGCGTCGGCCCTCCGGCCTAGATGCGTCCACTGTGTCCAAGCCGTCACGCGGCGCTCCAATGAAAGACGCCGCAAGACACCATCTTCCCGCCCCCACTCTGGCGTGCTCACAACAAACACAGGCCCTCCGCCGTAAGATCGAGGACGAGATTGACTCAGTCGAGCTCGGGTGCCACCCGGACCTCGCCGACGCGGCGGCGTCGCTCGAGGCTCCAAAGGAGCAGGAGGGCGCTCGCGTCGGCTGCTGCGGCAGCAGCGGCGGCTACCCCACCCCGCTGATGCACCAGGTCGTCATAGTTGCTTCATACATCCGTACACACTCACTCGAGTGACAGTCACGCGGTTCACAATGCCAGCAACTTGCCGCTGTGTGCACCCGGCAGGTCGGCGTCCTGGTGCGGAGGCAGTGGACGCTCGACACGCGCAATTTCGGGTACCAGTTCACCTGGGTCCTCAACGGTTTTGTGCTTGCGCTCAACGCCTCAACCTACCTGCTGGTCGAGCAGCCGCCGCTCAGTGCGCAACCAGCGTCCGTGTACCGCGACGACATGGGCTGCGACCCCACCGAACCGAGCGGGCGACAGGGGTGCGTCTGCCACGTGCCGATGGACGAAGCCGCCTCGAACGGCCAGTACAACGTGGGCGCCGACGCGACCGAGTGCGGCCGGGCGATCCTCGCCAGCGCGAACGCCGTCTTTGCGTTCCGAGGCTTCCTCTTCCTCGTCATCAACGCCCTGTTCGTCAACGAGGCCGTGTTTGTGCCGGCCGTCATCGCCGACAAGCGCTTCTTCGCGCGCGAGCACGGCGCTCGCGCTCACTCCTTCCTCATATCTCCCCGCATCTCCCCATATCTCCCCATATCTCCCCATATCTCCCCATATCTCCCCTCGCAGGAGCGCGCGCCTACTCCGTCCTCGCGTGGCACCTCGCCTGGCTCGTCAAGCTCGGGCTCACCGCGGCCCTCAAGGCGCTCTTCTACACGCCCTGCTTCTACTTCATCGGCCAGCTGCGCCCCGCCTGGTCCGCCTACTTGGCCGCCGCCCTGGTCACCGGCGGGATGGGCCTCGCCGGCTCAGCGGTCGAGAGTACCAGAGATTACCCGAGATTACCCCGAGACCCGAGCTTGGTCCTGAGTCGGAGAGTGCTGATCACCACGCCCCCTCCCCTCTCTCTCGGCTCCGCCTTGCTAATGAGTGATCCCCCTCGCACACGTACTCATGCTAGGTCGCCATGCTCCTCACCACGCTCGTCCCCGGGCTCGGCGCCGCCACCACCGCGTTCGGCTGCGCGGTGCTGCTCTACCAGAACGTCTGCGGCTTCTTCCTTCCAATCGCCGCCATCCCGCCCTACCTGACGTGGCTCACCTGGACGTCCGTCTTCACGTACGGCTACTACGCAATCGTCACCTCGCAGCAGATGTTCGGCTCCATTGAACTCCCAGGCGACACGCCGGCGAGAACCTGATTGATTATTCGGTTATCATTGTGCAGTGGTCGATCTCCAGGAGATTCCGACGAGAGCATCGAGGACCGACTCGTCTTCGCCTTTTGCTTCGTCCTCTACGCATGGTGTTTCCTCTTACGGCACCCAGAGCGATGAGATCGATGAAGTGCAAAGGAATTAATCATTGGTTCCTTATATAGGTGTCTTCTCTTCCACGGTGCCGCCTACGCCATCACGCGCGCCTACAGCTCCCACCACGCAGCATACCTCGGCCCAGACGGACCACGCAGCGCGTTGACACGCCGCAAGGCTGCCGCCATCCTTGCCGCCGACGGCGCCTCCGCCTCCGGCACCACCACCAGCGCCGAGGGCGCCGCCGCCGAGGGCACCGCCACCAGCGCCGAGGGCGCCACCGCCGCCGCATCGATGCCGTCGCGGTGGAGCAAGATACGCGAGGTCGTCTTGCGCGCCGACGGGCCCCGTCTCTCGACGGTGGCGGGGAGCTCGCTGTCGCTTGGCAGGACCCTGCAGCGGGTGCGGTCGCAGCTGCTGACGATGCGCGACGACGCGCGCGAGCAGCTGGTTATGAGGCATGACAGCGCAGCCCGCGCCGTCGCCACGCCGCGCATGGCCACGACGACCCCCTCCTCCACCCTCGCGGCGCGCCTGAGCGTCATCCCGCACGGCAGCGGGGCTTGAGCTGAGCCGGACCGCACCTTCACGAACACACGCAGTGTGCTGTGGACGCGCGTCCCCTAGGGGCCCGGACGCAGTGTCCCAGCAAAGTATCTGTTCACTTTACTGTTTCACGGTTCGCGTCTTGAGGTTTTGTGGGGACCGCGCGGCTGCCCCTAGCTCAGGCGCGCCTCGCACACCTCAATATGTGTGTGAAGTCAGTGTGTGGGCTCCTCGCGTGCTCTCGTCTTGTCTATGTCTTGGTAGAGTCGAGGTAAGGTAAGGCGGTATGGTAAACGTCT